CCAGTGCTTCCTCAGAGGCACTGGTCCTACTGGACCAGTACCTCCAATTATCAGTTTATCACCCTGATGATGAAGCAGACGTATCTCTCATCAGCTACATGCTTCGTGCTGCATCGGTGGGAGCTCGGACTGTGCGCATCCTTAGTGATGACGCAGATGTATTCGTGCTGCTCGTGTACTGGTGCTGGAAGGATGGAGTATCATGCCATGTTCAGATGGAAAAGTGGGATGGATCCGTGCTTGACATCAATGCCACTGTCACCAAGCTCGGGATAAAATGCAAGGAAATATTGGGAATGCACGCACTCTCAGGCTGTGACACTGTGTCCTATCCTAATGGGAAAGGGAAAGTGTCCGCCCTGAAAGTGCTCAACCAGACCAATATTGCTGGACTAGACTCAGTTCTTGGAAAGGACGATGCCACTGACAGTGACCTGATGGCAACTGGCAAAGCCTTCTTCCTACATTTATATTAGACTATAGGCCGTCCTGTCCGTTCGTTCAGTCTTGTGATCCCCTCCCCGGCAGAACATGAAAATCGTTTGTAAATAAGGGGAAAAATATGAAACACCGATTTTCAACTTATCCCACGTCTGATGCCCTCGACGTTTTTAGTAATTTGGTGGGAAAATTAGGAAATTCAGCTTATTATTCACCGACAACGCGTAGTAACATGACGGAGAATTGTCCAATTAGGTCCCGCGTTGCAACGCATGTGCTAAGAGCGAAGTAAATAATCCAATCGAAAGAGCCGTACTACGCTATGTTTGTACTATGTTGTTGCTAAGGACTCGAACATGACTGCGCCCACGGAGCCATTGAAAATACTGTGTTATTGTCACAACCCTGGTGTTTCTGAGAGTGAAATTACACCTTTCAAAGATTTAACTTGGACCACGTTTCTACGGGGTGTTGTAATTTGGAATGATTTAGTGGGCAATCAAGCTAAAATTGCGAAAAATTTCATTCATACTCATGGAGTCACTGCCACTGGCACTGCCGCTGGGCCGCATGCCGTGGTGCCGGTGCCCTTGCCACGAGATGCTGGATTTCACCGCAAATGCTACCAGTATTTTACAGATTCTACAAAGCAACAGCGGGGATTAGCTGCAAAGCAGAAACTGGAGGCTGCATCTGTTAATGGTACATACATATTAACCCTTTCACTGCGGGTCCCGGCCGTGGCTACATATGTAACTCTAGGTGTACAACCCACTGACTTAAGTTAACTGCAGCAGGCCGAACGCGTAGACTAAAAAAGTAAGAGTAAGACTAGCTCTAGTAGTAGTACTAGTAACTATACTAGTCCGCGTACAGCGGCAACTGTGCGTGGGCTATAGTTACTAGAGCTAGAGTAAGACTAAACTTAAGTCACGTACGTTATTATACAGTACACATTCTCTTAACATTTGCTATTATTAATTATTATCTTTATCTCCCACCTTTATGTAAAAAATTACAAGCTTGATTTTCCCCTTGAGGCCTCATCCTAGTAGTGCTGATAGGGTCTATGTCCCACAGAGTACTATCGGAGGGTAACCTGGGTACGGTTTGATATATCGGAAAGTACCTCGGTGTAATATACGATATGTTGCTGCGTACCATGCATTGTCCCACCGTACCCTGACTTTCACACACACACTGTGACACAATATATGACAGCAAAAATATTGAGATTAATTAAAGAATCATCAATTAATATGAATATCGCCGAAGAGGAGTCTTGTTGCTAAGGATGCGTTGCCGCTACTTAGACCAACTGACAATGCAGATCCATCTACAGGAGGCAGAAATCCGCAGACGACGCGTTCCGGTCGTACTATTGTCAAACCGAGACGATTTGATGATTTTGTGGATACTTGAACTGATTACAATTGATGATTTAGTGGATACTTTGTTATATAGTATGTAAATGACCGTCAGAGATTGACATTACGTTCATTGTTTTGTTTACAAACTGGAATACTATTTTGGTATCAGTTGGAATTAGTCTATTCAAGTAGAAGTACTTTAACAATTATATTTGTATTATAATTCAATATATTTCAATTTGTTACTTGAAAGAAAGGGGGATGTTTGGGATAAACATTAATCATTGGTCCCCGGTTTCCCGCGTTATGTATGTCACGTGACGTCGGGGCATGACACGGCAGGCTTTGGATATACAGTTAGTCAATAAAGATGTAGTTGATTCACGTCTCGTCTTATTCGTGATGAATACGAAACAAACACTGGCTGATGGAGTCAAATCCTTTGAGTGTGAGATGAGGCGTAATAGCAAACAATGTAGAGCCAGAGTTAGAGTTGATGGTGACCGAGTTGTTGGACGTTTCAATGAACATACCCATGCTCCTAATGTTGGACGTTCGGAAGAGATGAAAGTTCGCCAGAACATTAAACGTCGTGCAATAGACACTGGGAAAAGCGCTGAGCAAGTCGTCACTCAGGGACTCGGGACTCGGGGCTGTAAAACTTCAAGCTATTCGTAACATTCGTCGCTGTATTCGTCACTATCGCCAAGCTGCTGCTGTTTACCATCCATGCTCTGATCAACAACCATGTGGTTACTTGCATCTATGCTCTCTTACCTTCTACAAGAGCCAGCCCAGATATCTGTGACTTTTACGATAACTACGTAGATTAAGGCCCGAACTTTCCCTGCGATCTATAATGATCAACTACGAGGCAGCATCCAGAAATGCACTCACAGAAGTCTTCCCTGATGCAACCATACAAGGCTGTTTCTACCAACTCTCACAGGCTATATACCGCAAAGTGCAGAGTTTTGGTCTACAGGGAGAGTATCAGGCCAACGCTGATCTCAGTATAAATATCCGCATGCTGGCAGCCATTGCTTTTGTTCCACTTGACGATGTTGTAGAATCCTTCGAGGTGCTGGCTGATACGATGCCTGAGGAGGCACAACCAGTAGTTAATTACTTCGAGGATACGTACATCGGGCGACAGCAACGTCACGGCCATCGTGCACCACCATTTTCCCATGATATGTGGAACGTACGCAGCAGAGTTAAAGGTGGACTACCCCGTACAAACAACGTGGAGGGATGGCACCGTCGCATGCAGGCAAACGTGAGTGCATACCATTCCAGCATTTGGAAATTCATGGAGGTGTTGCAACGGGAACAGCCACTGAATGAAGTAGTGATCACACAGATCCTTGCAGGCCAACCACCACCACCACAACGAGGCAAATACCAAAGCCCTCACTGAACGCCTTGTCACCATCGTGGCCGATTACACAAACCGCGCAATCCGGGAGTATCTAAGAGGCATCACACATAATATTCAGATGTGAAGCTTTATGCTGAGGTGTATGAAGATACTTGTGTAACGTTCTCCTCTCTTCTCTCTCTCGGTGTATTTTCGTGCTGGTATGCTAGGCGAGAGTGTGCGGGTGCGTGTGCAGAGTATCGCACAGCATCGCAACCGTGTTGTAAGAATTGTTGTTTTTGTGTCGGGAGCTAGACAATTGGCAGCCCGAAATCCGTGCGAAGCGCGAAAAACGCCGCGTAGCAGCACACTAACACAACTACGCTGCACCGATTCTTACGCAATCACCGGGTCCACTATAAAAGCCAAAACCGTATAATCACTGAGTTGAGCAGTTCTGGCCATTGCACGATGGGTTTGACTACCCAGGTAGCTAGACATTTCCTAGAAATTCTCGTACAAAATTTTTCGCTACTCGGCGCGCTTTGTTTGCTGCCAAAAACGGAGTTTAAACGTTTTCCGTCGAGACACACCCACGGCGACTGCCAATCACCGACACGTGTCTCGTCACGCACGCCTACCAGCAAGCCGAGCTCTGTTGCTGGGCAAATTCCCCGTGATTATACATGACCGGTATACGGCCCATACCAACGTCAGACTAGCACATATGCCGTCCGATAGATCGCGCCACTACGCTATATACACATTTGAAAGAACTTAAAATTTACTTGAAATTTTACTTAACACCCGTTATGGAGAGGAGAGCACGATATCACTAGCGTAGGTAGCAACCTGGGGCCCGTTTCACGAAGCTATCGTAAAAAAACCATTTTAAGGATATCCTTAGAATACTTGCACGAGTGCCTAACGCTGTCCTAAACGTCTCTCGTTAAAGTGTTTCACGAAACTTAAGCCTGTGCGTTGTTAGACGGTCCTTGAAATTCAGCTGTAACTATGTTGTTGGCGGCATAGACTGGTACCCTATATCTACATCTTGCTACTAGATAGTCTATATATAGAAACATGTTACAAGTCTAATGGCAACCCAGCTCACTGTGAGTTGCTACGCTAATCTCTCGCGTCATTTAGTTTTAATAAATGTAGGTACAACAGCATGCAAACTAAAAATAATAGGTTAAAAGTATTTTTAAATGCTAAGTACCTGAGAAATAATTAAACTAAAGCAATGTTGTAATATTTCCTGCAACTAGAACTACAACAAATGACGTATTGACTGAACAAAAATGTAACATAAATTCTGAAGGTTCAGATTTACGTTTACTTTGATACAGAATTGGTCAGTATTGGCGCCATGGGATACAGTAATTACATACCAAACAGTACAGCCGAACAGCCGAAGCACATGTAAGGTGCAATTAAGCATTTCATCTCCTCAAAATCTGCTACCACAATAAGAAGCTTCTTAGCCACACTTACCCCGGCACAGCATGCCTTCACAGGCCTTCACAGTATTCTCGTAGACACAGAGAAGTTACCTTCTCAGCTGTTTTTCGCTTTAACACTACACTGCTTGCCAAAACAATACGCAGCTTTATACTGCTTGCCAAAACAATGAAAACACGCGCGAAATCTCGCGTTGCTTGATATACGATAGCCTAAGTACTGGCCCTAACCTGTCCTTAATAGCAACGTCGTTGAGTTAGCGAGACGTTTGTGAAACGTGGAAACTTAGCGAGGCTATCCTAAAACGCCTCTTTAACACATCACTAACTTAACGAGCGCTTCGTGAAACGGCCCCCTGTATTGAAAGGTGGCGGTGTTTATAACGTTGTGTTGCTTACATTTGTAAAGGTAATCTACGTTAAACTAGATGTATCTAATCAGAATAGTATTAAATTAGTATAATTAAACTAGAAATGACAGTTGTCACCAACTACATGTATCACCCGCGATCTAGTATGAATGAAATATCTCCATAAGAATGTAGAAGGTAGGTAAAGAGGTCAATTAGGGGCCCCGAGTTATAGACCGGAAGGGAAATATGATCAATTTCAAAGTCAAGGTCAAATAATGGTTGCAGTGACCTGGTTTTGGTATGCAACACACCTTCTCCACAAGATGTGTAAGTAGACAAAGTTTGGTCGTGCTAGGTCAATTAAGGGTCGAGTTATAGAGCGGAAGGGAAAGTGTCTGCGGCGGCGACGGCGAGCGGCTGGACAGACATGAAACCATAGTATCCCCGCCGACTTCCGGCGCAGAGGATACAATAAAACATCAAG